TATTACGTTAGACAATTAGCTTGGTGGTAAAGCCACACAGCTACAGACAAAAGCCGAAAGGAATTCAAAAGCTGTTCTGTAAGAATGCCGGGCAGAAACCTGCATCAATGAACCATAAATGAAACCCAGATCTTCTTTTCTATAAAACCAAAAAGCAGCTACATCAAACGGGTTGCTGTGAGGGTTAAAGAACATTAAGAGCTCAAAATTCAAAGTCTGGTCCATGTTAAATGCTCCTTCAACATGTCCATAGTTTGCCTCTCCCCAACTTCTTCCCCAGTGGAGATTTGTTTGTTGACTCACATGACGAACATGGCAGAAAGTGCTGCTACTGTTTCCTCAAGTGGTTCTTACCCTTAAACACCCCCCACCCCCAGACATGAATTCTTGGAAGATTTATCATTTATACAAGCACAGATGAACTCTTTCAGAAAGAGTTGAAATACATATGGATATTCAATCCAACCATAAATAATGTTACATGGCAAAAATTAATCAGCCCATGTTTAATGTTATCCAGGTCAATCCTGCTATGATAATCCTATGATGACGAAGAGGATGACGTATTATTTTTAAGTTGAGGTAACATTGGCTTATTCCACCACACCTATATTTCGGAAGTGTGTTACCACACCACACCCAACGTCGACACACATGTTCCTCCACCAGAGTCCACTGGCCTCTCTCCACTCTGCTCCCGTCTTTCCCTCCCCCTCAGGTAGCCTGTTTTACAATCAGATTTCTAGGGCTTGTCCATTCCTTTGCTTTTTTTCTGTCTATTGTACACAAGAGTGAAATCACCTGGTATTTGTCTTTTCCATCTGGCTTATTTTCTAGCGTAATCCCTTCTGATTTCATGTAGTCACAAATGGGAGTATTTATTTTCTTTTTCTAGCTGAGTACATTCTGTTGTTTATCTACCACATCTTTATTACTCATCTTAGTCAGGCACTTAGGTTGTCTCTATAACTTGGTTATTGTATATTCTGTGGCCTATGAGTACCTGTCTCCCTTCAAATTAGTGCTTTTCTATTCAGATAGACACCTATGAGTGAAGTTGCTAGATATGGCCTGTTTTTTAATGCTTTGACAAACTTCTATGGGGGCTGGACTGTTTTACCAAGAGTTTCTTTTTCTTCATATCCTCTTTAATGTTTGTTTAAATGACCACCCAGAGCTAGGTTTGCATGTGATAATTCTAATATAAAATTCACAAGGCACCTAGCTAGAAGAGATTCTTGGTTCAATGGGGATTTTAAATAATTGGGTTGACCCATGTCATTTTAGAAGAGCTTGGGTTTTGGGCCCTCCCTGGTGGTGCGCCAGGTTAAAGCGCAGCGCTAAGAAGCTAGCCACAGCCACTTTAGCTGCCCTGGAGGTGACTCACATGACGTGGCATACCTCTCCTGTCTCTCCCACTGCTCCCCTCAGCAGTGTACTTCGTCAGTAGGCCTGTCCTGCTCCCCACTCTGTCTCTGGTGAATGTCCTCACTGCCACTGATTCTCTGCCTGTACCCCTGCTCTGTATGCATCAATAAATAAATCTTAAAAAGAAACAAAAAAACATGAAGATAATTTCCAGCTGACTCTAGTGGGGTGGTGGGAAGTGATGGAGATTGGAGATGAAGAGGAGGAGAGCCTGGCAGCAACTTGAACGGATGTCAACTTTGACTTCAAAACCTGGGTAACTATTTAAGGATTTCAAAGGAGACAGATTTGTATTTGTGGCTGAAAGAAAAGTACAGTTGGAATATGCCCCCAGTGGTCAAGAAAGCAGTGGGGTGTGGCAGGCACTGAGGTGGTGAGTAGAAGGTGGGAAAGGAGATGAAATTGAGATATTCCAAAGGTGGGGTTAAGAGGTTCCGGGCCTGACTGAATGATGCAGTAAGTGGAGAAAAAACATTGACAGGTTTCTGGTTTGGGCAATTGAACAGATAAAACGCACATCAAATTCACTCTCCTTTCCTATGTTTACAAAGCTGACTTCCTCCTCATTCCACTCTTAGCTCACAGGGAACCTCCTCAGGGCTTCTCCCCTGAGCACACTATCTAATGGAAACTAGTAAAATTTAAGGGACACTTATGCTGTTCATACAGAAGACACAAGGCAGATACATGGAAGAAAAAGGGAGCTGCGGGTTAGCTTCCTTTCCAGTGGCAATGTCTAACGGCGCTGGCTACGCTGTGGGTCTGGAGGTCGTAAGTCTGGCGTGATTGAGGCTAAGAGCAGGGTTAAGAGCATTGCTCCCACACACCTCACACCAGTGACACCCAGGCTTGGCTATGCAGAATGGCTTCAGAGCTCTTTTTGAAAACTGTCTCCATATGAAATGTATCCACAATATCCCAATATCCCCGCGCAAAAAATATATCCACAATATCCCCACGCTCACCCTAGAAGTGGGAGTAGAGAGGAGTGGAGGTAAAATTGAGATTGAGGAGATAGAGGGTTTTGTTTTTGTCTGTTTTTAGAACATTTCAAAGAATGACAGGAAGTGTAAAGGATGTGTATTTTTTACTAAGTGGTAACCAAATCACGATAGGATTTGAGTCCTCTACCCTCACCCCAAATTTCCAAAACTAATTCACTTGGCAAACTTCAGACAGATATTTCAAAGGCTAAGAACTGAATATATCCATCCCTCAGCTTTATTCAAAAAATTTTAAAACACCCTCAGATGGTCTTCACAATTATTTATAACTTTCCAGTAAATTCTAATGAATGCTTTTAGTTTTCTCCAAGGAAGAAATCCTATCTTTGGCAAAACCTGGTTTGAATTTATAAAATGGCTAATTTTATGACTTAATATTTGCATTTCCAACATTGTAGGCAAAAAACATGACTGTCCATCTTTATGAAATCTTTTCCCCACATTTTAAAGTTTCACTAAATCTTTTTAAATGTTTATTTTTACATCATTTTGTGTCTTTTTCCTTCTCAGTTGTAATCCCCGAAGATGTCACTAAATTTTATAGTTTACAAGTGTTAATACTTTCAATTCCATACTCCTTATGGTGGAGAGGTAAAATAAATCATGCCTGAGCAAGAACCCATAAAATCTAACACATCAAGAATGAAGCTTGCTTCTTTAATAAAGATGAAATATTTGTGATTCACTATCTTAGCTCACCTAAAGCCACAATTTATAGCTTTTTCTTTGCATCCTGGTTATTTGGTGCATTTACCAAAAGGCATAAAGGAATCATTAGAACAAGCACATGTTGTTTTACTACGAACATAAGGTAGTATTTATATGTCATCTATTCTCAACCCTGCATTTCAGATTGAGCCATAATTTACTAATATACCCAAGAAATCTAGTCCAATCTGTGATTGGTAAAGCTCAAAAGCACCGACTTGGCTGAAAGGTGGTAGTTGCCTACTCTGAACTTCCAGTTGGTGGCCTTGGCAGCTTTTGTTTGTACTAAGAAAACAATGGCAGCCTCAGTAAGATGTCAAGAATCACTTTCTTACTTCTGGTCTCCATTCAGATCAGATGATGGAACCTGACTTCCTTCAGCATCTATCACCATCCTTTCTTCAAAGTCTAGTCCTCATGGACAAAGGAGGCCATCAGACACGAATTTTCTCAGCTTGTCACTCCTTGATGCCTAACATTTCTCCTGGCCTGTCTAGTTTTTTTTTATCATAAATGTTTGGATTTTGTTAACTTTCAATGGTTCCAAAAGCCTCTCCCCCTTTCCAAGATCAATTTCCTGTACTTATTAGTCCATTCCACTCTCTTGCAGGATGTTATTTATCTGCCCCCATATATCTTTTGTTTCCTTTTGTTCTCTCTTCTTGGTATAGATATAGATATAGATGGGTATGTCTGAAAGTATTTCCACTCCAGACCTTTCTTCTGAGCTCCAGTTCTATATAAGACGTGTCTACTGGATATGTCCAAACTAGGTTCAGTGTATCCATAACTGGAAGCCTTTCTCCCCTACCACTCCTCCACCTATGCTGCATCAGTATTCTAGGTTCTCACTGCCAAAAAGAACACAAGTCTCCTTCCTCCCTGTATCATCTTCTCACCATTGACCTCAACTTCTAGTGTCTCCTGTCTCCAGATCTAGCCTGGTGTGCCTTTCCCATCCTTAGGTTACAACTGAAGATCAGGCAGGCCCTGATCTGACCCAGAGAAGGGACTCATCTCCTGTCCTGTGTGACTTTTTTCTTTACTTTCTCACACTCTACAACTTAAATCTCAGTTATCTCTCTGCTGACTATACAAATAAACTCAACTCTAGAAAAGTGTAGAAATTTTAATTTGGTTAAAACTATCCTACATTTTCAGGTTTCTTTCTACCCATCCTCTTTTCTAACACCAAACTTGGTTATTTCCAGCATACATTTTCCTAAGTCAGTTGCTGCCATTCCCTTTACTAATATGCTTTTAATTCCCTCTGGCCCTTGAACACTCAATCATCTTTCAGTGTATCACCTCCTCTATGAATAATTAAATTTTTAGTTATACACACAGAACTGGGATACAGGCCAGAGGTGCAGTGAGGTGAGAGGATTCAACAGAGACAGAGTGGGGAGCAGAACAGGCAGATGGACTGAAATACACTGCTAAGGGGAGCAGAGGTCTGCAGCGCCACATGGGTCACATCCTTGGCTGGGGATCAAACTCATGCTGCAGTGACTATGACAGTTTCATAGTGCTGTGCTTTAACCTGTTGTGCCAGTAGGGAGGGCCTCTGTGAATAATCTTCTGATGCTATCTGATGAACAAATGCTTTCAATGTTGGGGTCCTTTCGTACTTGGTACATACTTCCGTAATGAAATACACTGTGTGGTGCCTGTCTCCCTGACAGCAGGAAACGGATGAGGCAGAATATTCTCCTCCCCCAGAACACACGGCACACTGTTAGTCTCTAATGTTTGAGGAACTCAGTAATGGGATTTAGTGTAGACAGGGGGCAGGGGAGGCCTCCTCTCCTCTAAATTCCCAGGCAGCACACACCCCATAAAATGATATACTGACAGAGAAAGGTTTGTGAGAGCTTTAATGGCACAAAATGTTTATCGCTACAAGTTATACAGGTATTGTAAACTGTATATAATGATACAAAGTGCTAACTAAATAGATGAAGAATGCATAAACACTTTGGCTCAGTTAATTCCAATCATTTCAACAACTGGTTCAGTACAAGTTCAACTGACTGGCCAAGTCTTCAATTTCCATTGTTTAAAAAGTGAATATTTTACTGCAATCAAAATAACTTGATGCACTTTTTCCTTGTGCAGGTTTGTGCAGTGTTGCTTTTGATTCTATTTATAAATATCTTAAGCCAGTTTCCATCAAACATAAGAAACCTGCCTATTCATCCCCCAATTGTAAACAGGTGTAAAGCTTTTTAAACATTAATCTTAAAATGTCAACTGTTAGTTGCTGAATTCGCCTTCCCAATCATACAATCTGTTTTTGTTAAAATACAAATCTGGGTAGGAACATAAACATTTATCCCATATGTTAGGGCTATCAATAAATACTGCATGATTTCATCTTATGGTAAGTTCTACTGTGGTGATCTATTCATGTTTTGAGATTCCAAAATTTCACAGATATATTAAGAAAGGGGCAGAACTAAATTTATTTCAACGTTAAGAAAAGTAATAAATATAACCAAGTTCAATCACACTATAGGTAGGACTGCTACTGAATTCAAAAGAGGTTAATGTGTTGCTTATAAAAAGCTGCTCTTATTTTAAGTCTAATTTTACTTTTCCCTGCCATTGATACTGATTGCAATACAAATTGTATGTTTTAGCAGTTAAGCTGTTTAGTGCTCTTAACTTTACCAGCCTTTCCAATTTTATTCAGGCTTTTTAAAATCAGGGAGTCATCAGATTTATTTTCATCCCAAAGAAATCCAGACATAAACACTTGAAATAAATAGGTTACAGAAGGCAAATCAAGTGCTTTCAGGTTTAAAAGGGGCAAAAAGTTTAAAATTATTTGTACATCAAAAAATGCTAGAAAGAAAAAGTTGAATACTCTGAAAACTATTTTGAATAATCTTTCCTAAAGATAACTATATTTTGAAAAAAGACAAATTGTTTTATCTCTCGTTATTTTCCACTAAAACACATCAGTTTGACAAAACTTTGTATGAAAAGAAAATTTCTGCAAACAAGAATATCTGGTTATCATAGTGTTTCTATTCAAGTCAACCTGATGCCCTTTATTTAATAGGTAAGTAGCTTGTTTAAATTAACGAGGATCCCTACATATGCAAGAGTAATGTCTGTATCATTAACAGTAATTATTTATGTATAGAACATATACTAGTATTTCTCGGAGTCACACTGTGTCCTGAAATCCAATCAGATCTACTTGCAATAAATGGGACCCTGATGTGTTCTAATAATTTGGTCAAAAAGCATCACATTTAGAAACAAACAAAAAAGTATATGGCTGAAGGAAACTGCTGAGTGTTCTGGAGCTTCAGGCATTTTGAACACAGAGGATGGCTACACGAGAAAAGGATCAGGGCCCACAGAGCCACAGGCGCCACCTTGATAAGACTGTACAGCACACGCTAAAGAGGGAGAAATCAGAGGAAAACCAATGGCAGCTCTTCACCTTGTCAACTGTTCCCACAGCCCAAGTTTGTTTTTCAAAGTGCACAGGAGTTTGGAATAGCTCTGAAACAATTATCTTCAGAGGTTAAAGGCTTCAGAGTAGTAGTGATGCTTCCTAAAGCATGAAGCCTGTATTTATTATGGAACTCATTCCAAAGCTGCTGCTTAGGAAAACAAACAAACAAAAAAAGAAATAAAAAATTTTTTAAAGAAAGTCATGAAAAATTCACATGCAGTTAATAAACATAAAAATACCAAACACACACACACACACACACACACACACACACATCCCAAAAGCAATTTCATGTATTTCAGGCCTGAGACCTCCTTGTCAGAAAGATCCTAACCAATAGAAAAGACAGCATTACAACATACAGTATTAAAATCTGCTGATGTATTCAGTAATCACTCTTCTTCATCAGAACGATCACGTGCACCGCCCGCTTCCTACAAGCTGAAAGGCGCCGTTACGGGTCGGAGACAAAAAGTGGCTCCAAAGCTGGTTTAAAATAATTTTTATTGCCCAGGATATATTTTTTTTCTTGTGTCTTTTTTGTTTGTTTGTTTTTGTTTTTGTTTTTTTAATAACTATAAATTCAAGCTTAGGGAAGCTTGCTTTTGTTTTGAAAAACAAAACAACAAAGCTTTTACATCATTTGCTAACCTGATCTCATCTTAAGAACGACATGGTAGTTATCTAGCAAGAGTAAAATTTATACCATAAATGATGCAGGTCTAAGTCTGGTGGGCCTAGGAACAGACAGTAGCATTCTGACAAAATTATAATCTGCTGGTGGCATTTGCGGAAAAGAAGCCCTTGCAAATTTCTAAACAACAGTAAACTCTGTTAGGAAATTCTAAAGTGTCTTACAGGCCAAAAAGGGAATGAGGTTAGTAAAATGCCTCAACAGAATTTGAATAAAATACTGGATTTGAGAGTTACTGGAACTTGGATATGTAAAAATAGGGTGGCTGGTTGGGTCATGCTTACAATGGTCTCAAGTTCAAATAAACTACTGTGACAATACATCACTTCACAGGTCACACGCTTTTCCAGGGGCTTGTTTCCTTCAGTAGGTGCTGGCAGAAGGTGTGCTCAGTCGTTTTCCAATATAGATGCTGAAAGGAAACAGAGTGCACAGGTTTCAAAGTCCTGGATCAGTTTGTCCACAGGCTGAAATCTACTTAAACACTCAATTTTTCAGTCCTTGTAAAACAGCTTTAGGGTGTATGTGCACAGCTCCCCAACCCTAAAATTGTCGCTGACTTATTTGAAACTAGTCACTGGCCAGCCAAACTGGTTTTATATGATGATGTTTACTCATCAGACAGAACTAGACAGCCCACGGGCAGTGATTAACAAAGCAAGTCAGAGAGAACAGACCTCTCCAATGAGTAAAGCAAAGCTGTCCTCCCTTGAAATGTTGCTCTGTGGTGGACAGAAACTTCTACTGCTATGTCACATACAGAATATTATAACACGCTAAATTATGAAAGCTGCAGTGCTTTACAGAGTGTTCTTGATACTGCTTAACTCTTCAAGATTAAGGGTAAAATATTATTTTCCCATGTCAGTCAAGGATTTTACCTTAGATATGCGCAAAGGAAGAAAAGGAAAAAATAGGACTTGCCTCAACCCTCAGTGCATGAAATCAATGAGCATTTGTAAATCCCTTTAATCTACATTCATCTGCAGCAAGTTACACTTGTATCAGTAAGGTAGCAGTTTAAAGATTTCATGGAAGGAAGAGATACTGCAAGGTACAAAATCAATCTCTTGAAGGCAAATGAACTAGACTGCTAAATACTGGAGGGGCATTTAATTTCCTACCCCTGCCTCTCCACCAACTCCATACAACACTCATGTACGCCCTTCCTCCACAACACCTTCCACTTTGCTGTTTGTGATCACTGTCCTTGCCATCACAAAAGCTGACTAAGTTTGCAGAAAGACAAACAGGAAAGTTGCAAATATGTTTCCATGTTTGGAACTGTGAACCTCTCTCCCATATGCTGAGCTCCTTGAAGAGGAAGGATGATGTAGCTTTGGCTACTGTAGATGACCCACTGGGCACGCTCACAGAGAGAAACAGCCCTGTCTTGAACAACAGTAGTAGCTAGTGCTTAACTGCTTAAATCTTTTGAAAATATATTTCAATTGTTCAAATCAAGAGAAAAAGAAATTAACATGTCGGAAAAATTAATGAATTACAGGTAAATATGGGATCAACTGTAGAGGAATAAGACTCTACATAGAGAAAAAAAATAATGCCTCCCAACAAATCTACTAGATTTACTCAAGATCTATCCTATATAATGTATATTTTTTCATCAACCATGCATTTATCACTAAAGGTTGATTTACTTTTAACTTTTAGCTAATTCTGAATAATCTACAAACAATTACTAAAACCCATAAAGAAAAATGAAGCATAGAAGTATCTCACTTTAAAATGATCATCTGGGGGAAAATGGCCAATTTATTTTCAAGTAAGAAAAAAAACCCTCTAATATTAAAAATATCTATCAGGCCCTCCCTGGTGGCGCAGCGGGTTAAAGCCCAGCACTGAGAATCTAAAGCCACTTCCGCATGAGTTCAATTCCCGCCTGCCCCGGAGGTGACCACATGGCGTGGCAGACCTCTCCTGACCCGCCCGCTGCTCCCCTCAGCAGTGTACTTCGTCGATCTGCCTGTTCTGCTCCCCACTCTGTCTCTGGTGAAGCCTGTCGCCGCCCCTGAGCCTCTGGCCTGTACCCCAGTTCTGTATGCACAAATAAATAAATCTTTAAAAAAAAAAAAATATCTATCAGTGTGAACCATGGTGTACCAACTTTAGTAATTCTTTACGTCCACATTATTTGCACTAAACATTAAAAGCAAAACAACACAAACTGCTTTCACATGCATCTCTTACATGAGGACAAAGTGAATGGGAAAGGGCTGAGGAGTTTGCCAGTACTTACCCTAGCCCCAAAGCCAACACATGAGAGAGGAAGAGAGACGGAATGAACACCTTGAGAAATTCTGCGGAGAAAATGCCCCCTTTCTTCATGGCTCCGCTTTTCCTCATGCTTAAAGAAACAGAACGTTTAGGGTGCCTGAAGTGGAACTCCCTGAAGAAGAAAATCAGAAGCAGGCGTCAGCAACGCATTGCTGAAAATACCTTGGAAATTACTAAGTCCACTGTGTCCACAAACAAACGTAGTAACTTACTTGGGTGGAATGTTTTCAGGTCTACTGGACCAGTCTGACACCCAGTCTACACTTTTCTTCAAGGCATCAGCGTCTTTCTCTCCTTCTACAACTTCTTCTTCTGACTAGAAAGAACAGTCAAACTTTAAGAAAAAAAGGAACACCAATTCTTCCTACTACATGAAGACAAATTAAAGAAAATATTCAAAATCATCAGGTTATGTGTCATTTTTTATGCAAAAAAAAATGCCATTTTTCTTAAAGATAGGCAAAATGTTCTAAGAGCAGTTAGTATCTAAAAAATAACCTGACTTTCCTCTTATATCTATATACAAAATATGAACATGAAAGCAGTAATTCAATATATAATGTTAACTTAAGTGTGGAAAATCTTGATAACTACTCAATCTGGGAAATGCTAATATGGAGGTCCAACGCATTATTTTCTTTATTTTGTACACATTTAAAATTTTTCAAAATTAAAGTAAAAGAGAACACACTAAAAAGCATATCCTGACACAAATAAAGTGATAAGAAAACAAGTAACTGGCAGGTGTGAATAGTAATGGTAACAGTAGTATTTATTGAATACTTATCAATTAGCATCACATTAAGTACTTTATATGCATTACCTTTTACCTAGCAACAACCCTAAATATAGGAACTACTGATAGCTCCATTTTACAGATGAGGAAACTAAGACATAAATTAAACAATGACCCCAGCTTTTCCTAAGTGGTAAGTGGCAGAGCCAGTATTTAAAAACAGGTAAACTGTTCTAAAGCCGCTTTCCTTAAGCATTAAATTTGCTCCTTGGGAAGATTGTAGTTTTTAAGACAAATCACTATCCAAACAGTTCCCAAAAGTTAGTCAAAACTACTATAGTCAAACTTTTTGGGAATAATTTTATACTGAGTCAGAATCTATTACCTTTTGTATCAAGTAAATGAAAAAGAAATTCCTTTTCTTGCTAGTAATAACCTACAATTGCAGGCCAAGAACAACAAAAAGTTTCAATAGCGTCTCTTTCAACAAAGCCCACAGGAATGAGAAATTCCTAAAAATGACATACCTATTTATTCAGTTTTAAGGAATGTGGTATTATGACCTCAAACCAGTCTCAATGTTAAGAATTGTTTTGTTATTTGTTTGAATAGGATTTGCTCTTTGACCAAAGCTTTTATTCTTTTCAGTAGGTAGTTTAAAAATGCAGAGCTGGACATATCCTTGCAATTCTTTTTTGGGAAGGCCTAATTCTCTTTGACAAAGAGGCTGAAGGAAAGTAGCTTCAGATAATAAATGGGAGTTCCTGGATCCAGAGACTATCAAAATGATAGTAAAATGAGTAAATGAGAAAAATCCTCAGATTTTTGCTAGTTTGGTGATATTTTTATTTGCTGGATTTGGCAAATTCCACCACAAGGCACAATGTAGTCTTCAATATTAGGCATTTTTCATTGCATATTGAGACCACTCAGGATTACGACTCCTATAGTAAATCTGAAAATATCCTATATCAAAAACAATTGTTACAATTTGTTTACAGATCAGTTTGTATATACACATTATCTTACTATAATCAACACACAGTAGGCCAATTTTCTTTACAGTTTCCAATTGTGGTCTCCCATGGCTCACTTTCTGAGTGAAGCAAAGTAATCTGTGGACTATTTATATGGTATATGTATATGTCTATATATGGGCATATGTCTATATAGAGAGATATATTTTAAATCCCCAAGTGTATTTACCTTAAGAATAAGAATTATAAGCTCTCTTCATTTTCCTTCAACCTGTGCTTGCTTTTCTTAATCTTAGATTTGTCAGTTTTCAGGTTTTAAACTGCCTTCTGACTCTTGGGATTCCAGAGTATGGTAAAAAGAACAATTTAATTAAAACTTATGCTTTAAAATGAGTCCATAACTCACTGTGTACACCTATATCTACTTAGATAAAAGACTTCAGCATATTCTCCCATGGAAGTCCCCTTAGCATCTAATCATTTACATTTTTTTCTTCTCTAGTCCATCTCAAGTTCTCTTAGGTCTCTAAATGTGTCTATTAAAATGTATGCAAAAGATAAATTACAGTTTTACTCGAGGGAAAAGGAGAACGTTTTCAGTCTGTGTCATCCAGTGACGCCCAACACTGTGCTAGTTTTTTGCCCCCAGAAATAGTGCAAAAATGACTTTAAAAGAAAACCTACATTTTCTGCTACAAAAACGTTTTTGAGGACTAGCCTCAAAAGTATAGTGCGAATGCTCCTATGCTTCTCACAGTTGCATTAGATTTTCTTATACCATAACTCACTGGACATATTTTTGTTTATTCTCAACATTGTCAGCTTTCCTGACTGGTATTTCCTTCTTTTAGAGGAACAAGGGAACACAAGCCCAGATGGCCTTTTTTCAATGCTGGTTCTATCAATTACTTGCTTTGAGATCACAGAGAAGTAACTTAATTAGGACAAAACTTCTCTTTCACTGGATTGAGGGGAATAAAACTGGGAAAAAATTTTTCAAAAATATTTATGTTATGATTTATTGACAGCCTTTAACACAAGAGTTTGGGCAAAGATAGAAGAAAATAAAAATTAAAAAACAAAATTAAATGTAGCACCTAGAATATACCTGTTAACTTGTAGAGCTTTTCCTCTAAATACATGTGAAAATGTTACCTATTCCTCATCTACGTGTATATAAATATTCAATAAGGACAAGTACCATGACAGTATTTTGTTAAAATGTTCTTTAGCTATTTTATAACCCAAATTTGCTTCTAATTTTAGGGAAAAACTAACCTTCCCCTTTTAGCTACTTTTTCTTCTTCAATGAAAAATAATGTAAAGGACTTTTTGAAAGTTTGAATTATACCTACTAATTCCTCCCTTATTAAAAGTCCATTCCAAAATGGTTTCTTTTTCTTATAGGAATTAAAATTGCTTTTTCAAAAAACATAACCTTGTTTAAACTGACTGATCTGACTGTCAACACTGCTTGGCCAATGCTTGATGATAACCAGGGTTCAATCAGGTACTCGCTAAGAATCACACTAGCAATCCTACATTAAGCTGGCCTGGAGGCCAACAGTCTCACATTTTCTTTCCTCAATATCATAAATTCCTCTGGAATTCAAATAGACGCAGTCAGCTCTACAATTCTACCTGAATTCATGACCAGTGAAGCCTATTTGTATACCTGCCACTCAATGAGCCAGGATAGCGCTTATCAAAGTACTCCACCAGGTAGGGCATTAGGGAAGAGCAGTGAGGTGTAAGGTCAAGAAAGTTTGTGAAATAGTCGACTTAAATGAATTCATTTCTCTATACAGGAATTGTCAGTCTAATACGCTACTGTGAGCTCTACCTGCTAGGGTGGGGCGGGGCGCCAAGGGAGCCCAAGGGCTATATTATTTCCTACTTACCTGAAATCAGAACTATCTTATGCAAATGTTTCTCAAAATACATTCTGGACAATGCCAATAATAGATTTCGACTTGTCTGTACCAAAGACAGTCTGAATTCAATACATCTTTCTCAGGCAAGGCTACTCCAAAGAGTTATTTCATTTTTCTATCTTGGGGTTCCTTAGTATATATACTTTCGGCCATGGAAATTTTATGTATCTTTTTCATAAGTCAGAGCTTACTGTACATGGCAGAACGGACATACGGTGGCAATTAATTCACCAGACATCTTTATACATGAGAGCGTCACTACAACCTCTCTACCATTAACCTCTCTATAATATGAAGCTCATTATAAAATAAATTTGTAGACAAAGTATAGATTTTCTAGGTTTCAAACCCACAGATTTTCTAGGTTTCAGAGAGTAACACAAACAGCAAAGTCACAGTAGTGAGAAACTGTGCAGCCTTTTGAAACAAAGAATACTGGGGTAGATCCAGGATAACATGCTAAGTATTAAAACATGTATATTTTTAGTGGAAAGGGAAAAAGCCATTTTAACTTCACGAAACAAAGTCAGAATTCATTTAAACATTCACTCAACAAATATTCTCCTTAACACCGGAGAGAAAAACAATGAATCCTGCCCTCACATATTTATATCCTGACACTTTTAGGTGACTGAACATTAAAAAGTTAATGGCTGGATATGAAGTTCCATAAATTTTTATAATGAATAACCTTTGGAAATTTTCAATACGACATCCATCTATATTTTCAACACGACATCCATCTATATTTTCAACATCAACTCAAACTATATTTATCTTTTTCAACTTAAGAAACCTCACTTAATTTAAATGCATTTCATCTCTACCTGTTGAAATTCACCTCAAAAGTCACTGCTTTGATTCCAGAGTCAGAAAAAGTTTTCACACATGGTTCTAAAGCAACCTTCATTTTCATTATTTTATGAACTTCAGTAAAACCACAGTCACAGTTTTTCTGACAAACTAAAGAGGCAAGTCTGTAATATGGAAACGACACATCACAAACAAGCATTTTTCTAATCTGGTTAGCATGATGGAGGTCAAGATCTTAGTCTTAAAGGAGACAACCAATGTCATCCAAAACCATAAACTGAGTAACTTAAGAGTTTCAAGCTACTTTAAAAAGTCTTTATCTTTTAGCTACTTTAGCAAAACAGTTATTTTAAAATGTACATTTTCCTAATTATTGTAAATCAAAGACACATGCCTGTGAGCTATGGTCCCTGCTGGTGTGCATTTCCACATCAAACATAATCTGCCCATCTTCTTGCGGGGAAGGGCTAAAAAAGAAACAATTTAGCCATTAGTTTTTATTCTCACTTTTGTCAAATCAATGAGGCCATTCTGGAAATTAGAAAATGAAAAGTTATACTGAAATAATTCTGCAGAAGTAGCATATCAGTAGAAAATGTATCATATGCAAGAAAAAATTAAATTGAGCACTCTTAGTTCCAAAATGTTCTGTTACATTTTGTGGTGATGAATTTCTTTGCAATAAGAAGTCTACAAAGGAGGTATGCCTAAAGAAACAAAAGTGCCACACTTTCTTAAGTTTTATTCATTTTCCAGTAAAGACATATTTATCTTCAAATTGAGAAACCCAGTTTGGAGTTCTTTTATCCAAACTTTTTCACTATTATGCACCATCAGCAATTCTGAAAGTGTGGAAACAATTTGCAGAAAGACTCAAAAGGTTAGGATTTACTTGCTTTTTCACTCTCATTCTCTCATGAGTATATACCTTACATCATGTCTAGTATCAAAATGGATTGAGTGGAAAAAGCAGGTGAGAATCCAACTGCTTTCTACTGAGCCAAATATTATAGCTATTTGGAGAAATATAAAATAATGTCATTATCCTGCTAATCTTTCAGTAAAGGAAAATAGTTATTTTTAATTTTCAAAACTTGCTAATATTAAACTGAGTTTGTTACTTTTGAATGACTATATATTTAAGTTTCATATTTTAAATTTTTGTCAGTTTTATTTTGTATCTGTATCAAAATATGTAACCTACAGAAACAAAAATCTTTGGGATCTCTGATAATTACTAAGAGTATAAAGAAGTAATTAGATAAAGTGTTTAGAAATCACCATTCTCGTTATTTGAAAAATATTTGCTTTGAGGTATCTCAAGGTGAATTATATAAGCTTATACATGTATGTAGTCTTTAATGAAAAGTAGAAACTATATTCTCAGAACAGGTAGGAAAATTTTTAGACAAAAAAAAAAAACAAGATCACGAACTGTCCTTACCACAATATAAGAATACAAAGTGCTAGGTTCTAGCCTTAGGTTCATCAATGGGTCCTTCTGAACTACAGCAAATCATCACTTAGACCTCCCACATGTAAACTCAAATAGGGATGAAAAAAAGGCTCTACTTGCTTAAAGATTACAGTTATCAAAAGCATGTAAAACATGGCCAGGGTGTCTTATAAATGACATACTTACTTACATAGGAAAAGGGAAAAGAAGGTTCTCTATAAAACAAAACTTGAATTTGAAATCTGAGGCTTGGGCTTCCCTGGTGGCCTAGGGATTAAGTCTCAGAGCTATGACCACCAAAGCCTGAGTTTGCTCCCCAGCCAGGAGCTAACCCACATACGGAGCAGCAACCCTCTCCTGTCTTGCCCACAGCTCCCCTTAAATGTGCCTGTTCTGCTCCCCACTGGTGAGCAGTGATGCATCCTCTCATTCCCTGCACCTCAGATCTCAGGCTTCTGTCATAGGAACAAAGTACAACAAGGCACTCTTCTTATCTTCAGTTCTGTCATGCTCAAAACATAGCTGGGTTTGCTGCCAGAGACCAAGCTGAGGGCCAGCATTACACAGCTACGACCAGATCCAAGCACTAGAATGACAAAGTCAAGAATCTACAGAAGCACTAACCTTCTATACTCTGCTTTAACCCTAACACCAATCACACTTACAAAAAATTAAATATTTTACTAGTGACTACACATTCCTAACAAACCTGGTTCCTAGTAGGATCAGTTACAGAGTTTTTAAAATATTCTCATGCTTCTACCTGACCCTGGCAACAGAATGAGGATCTGTAGAGATGGAATTTGAGCAATGGGACTCTTGAAAGCTCCTTTGGTGAATCTAGTATGTAGGTAGAAAACACCTACAATAGAATGGAGTGCAAAGCAAAAACATGTAAGGATTATTTCTGAAAGCCAACATATTCCATATCTATGAAATACTTTTTAAACTGAAAATATTCAGAGTTAAACTATGGATTTAATATCCAAACAATCACAATACTTTTCCAACAAGAAACATTTTTGAACAATTACCAATATATGCATGGATTTTAAATGTATGATCTAGATTTTGAAGACATTTTTATTTTTCAAAGACTTATGTATTTATGCATACAAGAACTGGGGTGTAGGCCAGAGGGTTGAGAAGATTCACCAGACAGAGTAGGAAGCAGAACAGGCAGGTCTACTGCTGAGGGAAGCAGTGGGTGGGTCAGAAGAGGTCTACCACGCCACGTGGGTCAATTCCCTGGCTGGGGACTGAATGCGTGTGGATAGCTTTATAGTGCCGCGCTTTAACCTGATGCACCACCAGGCAAGGCCCTGAAGATATTTTTAAATGGTAAGAGTGTATGAATCAGGTATTTCAACAGAATATTATTGAGTAAAGAATTTGAGGCCTCCTCTGAAAAGTGATCAGAAATGCAGAGGGTAAAGATACATCCGCTGACAGGGATGTGGTCAAAAGCACTTGCCAGATCTCTCATCACATGTTCAGAAACCTAACTTAAACATGATTGTGAAGAGGTGAATTCACATCCAAACACAAGTATAACTGCAATCATATAAAAAAACAAAGACCAGAGACACAGGCTCAGTGATAGCTTACGTGGTCAACAGGCTCACTGGGAACAATGATGAAGGGTCATAGACCTTATGGACATAGTAAAAACCTTATCAAAAGACCTATAAACGAGTAGAAACTTCAGAAATCATATAAATATAAAACAATATTTCATTCTGAAACACAAACTAGTGCTGTAGCTATAGGGGTCAATGGCAAACTCTTCTGAAAAGAGTCATCTACTCTACTTCTGCTTCGGACAAGAGACACCCCGGGCTCTAGGCAGCACAGAGAAAAGTGAGGTGAGATGGAGGTGAGTATGTACAAGAATCCCCTAGCCAGCAAGCCAATCCTCTGCTGTCTTGGTAACATCTGAGAATCTTAAGGCAGGATTGTTAAACAAGAGTTACATACATAATTTTTATAAAGTACAAAAATATCCAGAAGAAAAATATACAAAATCTCATCTCTTAGAAGATAGTCATGACTTACATCTTTAAATGTCTCCTTAATCTTTTTCTGGCACATTTTCTACAAAGTTAGAATGAGTTGACGCTTAATTAACCAGAAGTTTATCCAAGTACCTCATAGTGCTAGCTATCTGGTTGTCACTGATCTAAGTTCTGCAAAATATATCACTATGTCATGAACATCTTAGTCTCTCTAAAATAAAGGAAAAAGAGAACAACTCCGTTACATTCTACTAATACATATCTCTGTATTTTCCTTACCATAAGCAATCATTAGTCAATGGAAATAGTGTCCTCAAATTAAATACTATAAAATGAGGTCTGAAATAAAGCTGCCTCTAAAAACTCTGAATGGTCTTTAAAATGAACTATCTTTGCAGACTTTGCACAAATACTACTATCAACTGAATTAATTTGCAGTTTCCACCTTTCCCACTTTACTGAGAATTTGCTACACGCGCAAACCCCTGCTCTGAAGGGTACCAAGGAGATGAAACATGACCTTGCCTTTCGGGGGCCACATCAAGAAGGAAGGACAGACATATGCAGGGACTGCTGTACTCAAGGCCGAATGCAGTATGTAAAGCAGGGAAACAAAAGGACAAGAGAAAATTTCATTAATTCTATAAAAATAAACATTATGGGCCCTCCCTGGTGGCACAACGGGTTAAAACACAATGCTGCAAAGCTGGCCGCAGCTGCTTCAACCCAAGTCGATCCCTGGCCAGGGAGGTGCCCTACAGGGTGCGGCAGACCTCTCCTGACCTGCCCGCTGCTCCCCTCAGCAGTGTAGTCTGTCGGTATGTCTATTTTGCTCCCTGTTCTGACTCAGGTGAATCCTCTCACCACTGCTCTACCTCTGGCCTGTACCCTAGTTCTTGTATGCACAAATAAGAAAAAAAAAGAAAAAAATATATAATCTAAATAAGGAAACTGATATAGTCTAAGGAAGAATGGTGGATACTCAAGTACAGGTCAATTAGCTGTCTGGCATAAATATACAAATTGCAATAAATGAGATGTTATCTTTTGTTAAATAAAGATATAAGCAAATTTATTTTTTTAACAGGGATAAGCCTTGTAGCCCACCTGTTTCCTGAATGCTACCAAAACACGAATCTCACCTACCTGTCACAGTGAGAACTGCCTCTGGAACTACTCTGTCCCGATTCATGTTGTGCATCCAGAAGGATCTTCTCCATGTCCCCATTGTGGATGGAGGATGAGGAAGGCACATGTTCCAGCCCCCCATTTTTCCCATTGCCATTATCATTTCCATTGCTGCTATTCATGGGTAGCTCCACCCAGGAACCTGTTGGACAAGTCAGATAACTTAAGTGAACCACAGCAAAACTGAAACCTGTCGTGTGTACACAGATGTGACTGCGGGGAACTCAGATAAGAATTTGGACTCACTTGAAACCAAATGCAAAAGTATTCTGAAACAAATAAATACAGAACAACTAAGCCTAAAAATCTATATATTTCTGTTCCTGAAATAGTTCATGCAATCAATCAACTCTAAGAACCAAACATATCTGAAACTCTCAAACTAGTATCTTAGAAAATGTATCTTCAATTTTCTTTCTAGTTAAAATTTAGTTTATACACAATAAACATGATTCAGAAAACTTTGAAGCTGCTTTTCAAAAAACAAAGAGCTACTTTATTACCAGATATGCTACCAACTTTTAAAATTTCAATTGTATATATTATAGTTAACATCTTTTCCTATAGTTTACTCCAGCTATAGTTACATCCTCTCCACAAACGAAATGAATATATGCTTAGAAACTTCATAAAGGCCTTCTAAGTCTAAGTCAACAACTACATGCTTAGTAGTACCAACAACCAAGAAGCTCCCAGAAAAGTGACTTAAATCAGATCAATTTCAATTTGCATACAGATCTGGAGTGTGAGTGCAGCTGGCACTTGACTAAAATCAAGTAATAATATAAAAGTTCTGGAAAAAGCTTTATCTCTATTCCACAAACCAGTCCTTTGTACCTCACTCTTTCCATTCTTTCTGCCTTTTCAATGCACTAAAAATACCTTGTGAATTTGTCTCTTCACTCTTTTCTCCCGTGAGTTCCTATTTCCTAGGGTTTTCATGAAACTTCGTTTGCTTGGAGCAGAAACAACTGTGCATCTGTCACAGGTACGGGCAACACAGCAGCTTTCTCAGGCGAACAGCTGAAGGGGGTGGAGCTACGCGAAAGGGGACGTGGCACTGGTCATGTGGACACATCTTGAAAATATTTACTGGCTGATGAGTTCACTGAAATCACTAGGTGCTTTAATTTTAATATGAATTGATAAGAGTGGCCAGTAAACCAACATCACCACAAAAGACAGAGTGGTATATTTTTTCTATAATTTGCATTACTAACAATAAATTATGTTTTAGAAAATGTGCACCCACGCAGACTGCTGTGACTATTCCTCCAAACTTGCAGGAGCATTAGAAAGAAGTCTCCCATAAGTAGATCAGAATAATCACCAAAGAAGGCTCAAAGTGCAAATGCAGTCTGAGGTAATGACTATTCCAGATTCAGAAGTGAATTTAACCTCTCCTGTAAATGAAGGAAAAGCTCAAAGGTAGATCTGGTTGGAAATCTGACTCCATCACTGACTGTCTGTGTGCCTTTCTGGGCGTCAGTCTCCTCATTTATTAAACAAAGATAACAGAGTTCCTGCCTCCAAGGGCTGCTGTGAGGATTAAATATAGGAGTAGAGGTGAGGTCACTAGTAAACAGGAGCTGCTTAGTTATATATACGTCAGTTAAGAGTTTTTATTTTAGTACTTAGAATAGTGTTTTGTTAAATAAAAAGTTACCCTTCCCTCCCCTTTCCTCCAACGCAGTCCCACTACTTCTTGCAGTCCCACAGTCACCGCTAACTTTTTGGGATTAGTCTGCTAAACAACAGTTTGATGATGTCTCCATGGTTTCACCACACACACACCCAGTGGGCACACAGTAGACAGAACTTGAATTAGATTAGTAAACTCAACTAGCATAGCTAAGACTGCTCTGACACGGAAGGTAATTTAAATATCTTGGGTGCCTTTGGAGTGTATATGGAATATGCCAAAGCCTACCTAAATTTAGAGATCTGCAAAATATTTTTAACCAGACAAAGAAACAGAGCAAGGGATTTTTATGATGAACGTTTTCTCTTAGTCTCATTGTTTCTAGGAGCTTCAAATTTATTTTAAACAAAGATCAATGATTCTTCTATAAAAACTCAGTATGTAAAATAAACTGAAAAAAAAAGCCCACAAGACAGAGATGCCCTGCAGAGGCAGAACTAATAAGTAACCAGAAGGTTAGTATAGGTTTCTGGTAATGGCAATTTCCCTAAAATATAATTTATGCTCACCTGAAGTAACTGATCAAAGAAGAAAAAAGCTAGTTCACAGCATCAGCTCTCTGGACCTTACTTATTTGAAGGGCTTCCAAATCAGTTAACTAAATTTTACATCATGCATTAAAAATATGCAAGCAATCATACATAACTGGGAATTTGAAGAGACATATCTAGAAAAGTTTACTGAAAGTTATCTAATTGCTTTCTTATACTCTAATATTTGCTTCAAAAATAACTTACATAAACACTAGTACATAAAGTAAAAATTAATATCTTTTCTTCAAACCAAATATTCTTACTCCCAAAGGAAACCACTTTTGAAAGTTTCATATGTAAATTTCTAGAGTCCCCCCAAATATATAACTTTTGTTTTTATAACTGGATGCTACTGTAGATATTTTCCTGTAAGAAGCATTATTATCTAACTTGTGGATGTCTTTCAATGTCAATATTATCTTTTGAACAACACTGCAAACGTCACAAAGACTAACCATTAGCCAAATGGCAATGGTTACCACTACCTATAGGATTGTTTCTAATATTTGTTGTTATAATCAGTGAACAATCTGGAGGGTAATGTAGCAAAGCCTTAGAGAATTATATTTCCTTTACCTCAATAATTCTCTTCCAGGATTACCAATGATGGAAATAAACAGTGCTGCAGACAGCTATGCACACAGATATTCATTATGAGGCTACATGGTAGCTACCTTCTAAGTAAAATGGGGAAAAACGCCTTCTCATCACTTAGTTCATTCCTGATTTTCAGTTTAATAATTTCTTAATGTTCCAACTCTACCATCCTCAATGTCCCCTTTGACTTGAAAAGGAAACAAGGCAAGATAGAAGGATTGTGCTGTCCAAGCAATACAAAGTAGAAAAACTCAGTGGGAAATCTCCTCCTAATAACCAAACTTTAAAATTAATAAAAACAAAAAACTAAGGCTATCTCAATTATACTGAAAGACTATGTACAGGCTAAAAACAGTTCTCTTATACCGAAATTACATGAGCAAATTCCTAGTAAGTCTTTGAGAACTGACAAAGAGTTTGAAATAAGCATACTTCTACATTCTCTAATACGGCAAATGTGGAAAGGTTGGCCCACTAGCTGTGATTACATTCAATGACTGTGGACTGTATTATACTCTTTACAGCTTTAAAACCATCAGTTCAATTCTCATGCAAGAAGGGAAGTGGGGAGAGCTGAGGTTTGGGGGGGGGGGGAGAAAAAGAACTTTTCTCATTCCCCCCCACTGCAACTTTTCAAGGCCTCAAACATAACCTTTATCCTAAACATTGATGATATATCTCCTTTTGTCTTATCTTCTTTCCTCAAACCATGTATTTTATTTCAAGTATCTGATGTTGGAGTTCAGACCTGTAAGAGTCACTGACACTATTATTAAAAAAAAAAAAAGTTGACCTTTTTTATGCAAAGTAGGCACTTATACACCAATTACTTATATATTAAAATAGTATTAGGAGATACTGAAATTTCACATCACAGACTTAAAGGTCTACTTGCTGTATAGGGGAAGCAAGTACATAATGGGTGAAGAGTTACAAAAGGAAAAAAAATAAAGACTGTAGCTCTGACATTAAACAATAGTAATTATACCATTACTTCAACTTTTCCTTATACCAGTTACTGAATTTATGGCATAAATCGTTAATTTTCTAAGAATAAAACAACTTTAAACTTGAAAATGTCCTTTTCACCTTGAAAAGAAGTAGTTCAGATATTTGTCCAGTAATTTGGAGTCAAAGTGAATAGTGCCCCTAAAATGGGAAACTGAGAAAAAGTTTCATTTTTCCAAAATTTTCAATAAGCTGCTATTAAAACTATGCTATGACCCCTGAACTAAAGATAAAGTCCCAAATGAGATAATTTGTACAAAGAGTTCATCTCCTGTTTTTCATAGATATATAACGTTATTCAACAAGGAACTTCAACTTATCAGCAATTTGGGCAGTATCAGACTCCTGAAGAAGTTGTTTTTTCCAATGCCCAAGAATCATTTGAATCAGTAAGACTTATTGTTTTGTTCAGTCCAGTTGATAAAGAGCCAAAAAAAAAAAAAAGTATAAAAGGCAAGAGGGGAGTAATTAAACATTGCAGGACCTGAAAACATTTCAGTAACTGTAAAAAAAAACTCACTCCAGGGCCTCCTTGGTAGCACAAGGGGTTAAAGCACAACACTGTGAAGCTATCCCAAGCGACTGCACCACAAGTTCCATAGCCTGCCAGGGAGGTGACCCACACGGAGCAGCAGACCTCTCCTGTCTCACTCACTGCTCCCCTCAGCAGTATATTTCAGTCTATCTGCCTGCTCTGTTTTGCTCCCTACACTGTCTCTGGTGAACCCTTTCAACCCCTTCCCTACCTCTGGCCTGTACCCCAATTTTTATATAAATAAATAAATAAATCTTTAAAATAAAAACACCTTACCCTACTCCAAATAAAATACTTTGCATCTAGCCAATTTCTCAGAGGAACCTTTTAGTGTCAGGCTGACTGACTGTTCTGTAGGAGCTAATATAAACACAGCAGCAACTGACTGGCAAGGACATCACAAGCCTGTCAGACCTGGAGATAAACCATCACATATAGCTCACATAGAGCTTTCTGTATTAAAGTGACAAAGGAAAAATTAGAACCTCTTTGCTTTCTGTGAATTCAGGTACATACACTAGCCAATGGGTAGCCTGTAAGTATCACAGGAAAGCACTTAGTAAAATTTAAAAGAGGCAGGACACCACTGTACACCAAATGGAACAACATACAAAGTGAATAAAAAACATGTACAAGTAGGGGATTTGAGGCCACTGAAAACAAGAATTTGAAAGGAACACTAGACTGGGTGAAAGACCTCAGCTTAGGCTGCTGTGAACTTGAACACACTTTACGCTAGACTTGTTTAACAAGGGGTAGTTATTCCTAAAGTTTCTTCCCGTTGTAAAACCCCATGCTTCTAATAGGCTATGCTAAAAATGAGTAAATAATTTAAGAATACATACTAATAAGCGAAAACAAGTTCCATTTAAGACATAAATCCTAATACCAAAGAAAATATGTACGTCTTAAATCCTAGAACAAGTCACTCAGTGTTTAAAAAGTGAACACTTAAGGAATTTAGTCATCAAAAGATGGAGTCGGAACAAAAAAGTAATGAAAATATGTTCAAATATTCAGTCTATTTCCATCTTGTAAGGACAGGAACTCTCTTCCCAAATAATTTTTAGGCCATGCTGAAACACCAACCTCTTATGAAAGCTACTGCAACGTCTTTAAGTGACCTTTAAGCATCCAAAAGATTTTTGAACGATTTCATCAGGCCATATGCTAACTGTCCCAACCACCTCTTTCACATGAAATGAATTACAAAAGGATTGGGCAAGAACCCTTCCAAGAACACCCTGCGCTCTAAACAGATCTTAGAATACTCCTAGGACAACATGTCTGAGCACCAGAATGTTATGAAAAGCCACTGGAGTTGGTGGTAACTCAAATACTACCCGTTAACTTGTAATCGTTTGTGTGAGTTTATAACCCCGTTTCTGAAAATTCGTTGGCCCAGACACTGATTTGTGCAACCTTGTTTATGGTTCAAGAGGCTGTTCACAAGCAGACTTACGGGACATACAACCCTACCGTTTAGGATAATACATAAAAAAATTCACTTGAGCAACTCAGAAAAAAACTAATAAAAAAAAAAAAGGTGACATATCCTCAACCCCATACATGATACCAGTAACCACTAAATTACCAAATAATTATTCTGACCCGCCCGTGTTAACAAAGAAACTCAAGCAAAGGGTTCACGCTCAGAGCCCGGTGGGATGACCGAGCCCCGCCCGGGTGGGGTCCTCCGCCCCAGGGCCCACTCCAGCCGCACACCTGCCTCCCGGCCGCCCCCTCCCCTCGGCGGGCCGTCCGCGTCCATCCCCCAGCGTCCCCGCCGCACGTCCCCATCCCAGCCCACGTCCCCACCACCGCCCGCTCCGCCCACCCGCACCCCAAAGCCCGCCCCTCCACGCCCGGATTGGCTCCGCTCAGGGGCCCATTACAGGTGGGGTCGGTACATCCCCCTTCCCTCCGGAGCCACCAGCCCTCCACGTCAGCGAACAGCAGCAGTCCCCAGCCCAAGACCCCAAAAGGGAGAAGAGCCCGGCCAGGAGGTAGACAGAGCATCTCCTCCTGACAGGTGACGGGAGTTGTCAGTCACCTGCACATCCTCGGCCCTGACCAATGGGCTGCCTTCTCCTCCCGCCCCCAGCGCGGAGCTGGTGGCGGCGGCTGGAGCAGCTCCTCCTCCCCCATCCCCTTCCCCGAGCCCGCCCGCCCGCCCGCCCAGCACTTACTGTTGAGGCCGGCTGGTGGGGGCAAAGGCTGTTCGCCTTCCTCGCAGTTGTTGTTGTTGTTGTGCAAGGGCGGTGGTTGCTCTACTAAGTGAGACGACATCGTCGGGCGGCTAAAGGAGCTGCGGCCACAGCGAGACTGTCTCTGGTTCTCCGGCAGCAACACAACAAGCCGAGTCCCCCGCCCCCTTTTCTGCGCCTGCGCAATCCCGCCCCCCCATTGACGTCAGGACCCGCCCGGGCCACGTGATGACAACACAACAAGCGGTGGGGCGTGGCGGGGCGGGGCGGGGGCGTTCCCAGGCGGACCACGAACGTGGAGACGCGGCCGTCACGCTGACACGCGCACTAGGTATGAATTCTTGCGTGTCAGTTTTGCTAGCGCGATGGAGTGAGTTAAGCGAGTGGAACTGGGGTAGAGGATTGGGTGAACTGTGTAATGAAGTGGGAGGAGCTTACGTGTTGCACCTAGCCTCCTACACCTACCTACTAGAGAATCAGGATTTCATCCTTGAGCATTTCTTTTTAATTATCAGCTAGGACTCACTTTGGTAGTAAGTGTCGTGATCACAAAGAAGCAGCACCCCGTCTTAAACCAGAAACAAGGTTGGTGAAAATTTGACACTGAACAGGGAACAGTATAAACAGGCCAGATTTCAGTTGTTAAAGAGTTTCAAAAACTTTAATTAAAGACATACGTGCCATCTTGTTAGGAAAAAGAAAGAGGGGTAGGGAGGGAGGATTTTAGGAACATTGAGGAGAAAATGATCACCCAAATCCTAACACCTAATTTATTTCTGGAACATGACGTGGGAAGCCATTTTCCTGTATGTGGGTGGCCCTGAACTTCCTTATGTTACTCAACACCATCTACTTCAAATCTCCATGTCTTTGTTTTCCCTGATTTATGTGTGGCCTATATTTCTCTCAGATTGTCATTTGTCTTTTAACTTTGTTTCATGTATATCAAAAGTATTCTTCAATAGTTTGAGGAGCCTCGCCTACCAAAGTTGTGACTCCATCCCCGGGCTTTTTCTAAATTTCTTACCGGTTTTGTATTTAGACCCTTAATCCACCTGAAATTTGTGTTTGATTGTTTGTAAATTTATTTGAGTTTAGTTCTTCCCAATTGAGTAGTCAGTTTTACCCACAACATTGATTCATTTTTTAGCCAGCCTTTCTACAGTGATTTTTAAATCGCACTGTTATCATGTTCTAAATTTCCACAAAAACCCGAGTCCATTTGAGGGCTCTGAACATTCCTTCTGTTAGTTAACTATTAGAGAAAATTTCTCTATATTTATTTGTCGTTCACAGATTTTTTAATGACTAATTACTCCAGATAAACTTAAAAGTTGACTTATCCAACATTAACCATGTGTTTGTAATTATTGAAAGTAGGTGACGGATACATTAAATTATTTCTACAATTTTTAAATATGCTTTAAAAATACAATTTTTAGATATACTTTAAAAATTCCATACTGGGAAGGTCTTTTAAAAGTACCAAATTGTCATCCTAGACATTTTTTGATCTATTTTGAGTTTTGTATAGTCATCTGTATTACAAAAAATACTTGAAAGGTTTCCCTTTCTGTGGTTTTAAGTATAGCTTATTTGGTAGCTTTTTTTTATTCAGGTACTATTGGTTTATAGCACGATATGTGATTTAGCTGTGGAGCTTCACACCTCATCTAATGTTTGTTACCACACCAGCCCGGCACGGAGCACCTGTCACCTCACGTCAGGAGCCCCTGTGCCGCTCCCCTCTTTTCTGTCCTCCATCATTTCTCTTCCCTGTCCAGCAACCTTAAATCTGCGGTCATATTTCTGAGTTTGTTTTGATTTAGTTGTCTTTTCCTTTGTTTTGTTTCTTTATATTGCATATATGGGTTAACTTTTGACTCAGGAAATTACTTTAAGGGTTTTATACAGTCCCCCTAAGGAGCCATCCAAGCCTAGTGTTTTTCAGATGGGTAACTGTTTTACAGAGCTGCCTTTACTTCTTTCTTTGTGTTATTTGCCCTCTATTTTTTCTTGATTATAATTTTATATCTAACTTATTGACTTTTAAAACCAAGTTTCTTCCTCCTAATTGTATTAAATTTAACAGCTTAACTGAGATACTATAATTCACTATCTGTACAATTGACCCATTTAAATTTTGCAGTTCACTGTTTTTGTTATAATCACAGAGTTATGCAATCATCAACAGTCTGATTTCAGAACACTTCATCTCAAAAAGAAACATGGTACTGATTGGCCATTACGCCTCATCTTTTTAAACTATTTACATCTATTGCTTATTTTGTTAAAATAGATACTAAAGAATTTTCTCTAAAGTTTTTTATTATTTCTAATTTAAAGATTTTCCTGTGACTTTAATATATAATATTTTATTATATCATGGCTTCCATTTGTCTGCTGAAATACCCTTCTGTATGGGGTTTGTTTTACAATATTAAATTTTATAAGCTAGATATATTAATTGTTCCTCATTTACATTTGTAACAGTGTTATATATATGTTTTGTTCTTTAGGCAATTTCTTTTAATGCCCAGCAAAGAAAAATACTGAAATTAGTATAATTCCTCTCCCCTTTCCTTCTACAATCCATTTTTTAGTTGATCATATTCTTGATCACATTTTTAATATTCATCTTTGTATATATAATTTTATGTCTTGCAACTTAATACTAGAAATACTAGAAATAAGATAGTATATTTGTTCTGTTACTTCTCTTCCTGTACCTCACCACAACCACATTTGTTAACTGTTCATTTCACTCTTATTAGAGTTTATAATAAGAGTGTGTGTCTTACAACTTTTGCCACGTTTATAATAAGAGTGTGTGTCTTACAACTTTTGCCACATTTATGCTGAATAATAACTCCCAACTCACTGGTTTAAACAAGAAACATTTATTGTCTCTTGAGCATTATAGAATAACTAACATAGACTGTTAATGGCAGAAGATATTTGTATATCATATGTACAATATCAAAAAACATAAAGAACTCATAAATCTCAACAATAAAAAAATCTGATTTAAAAATGGGCAGAGGATTTGAATGGATATTTTCCAAAAAAGACATACAAATGACCAATGGGCACATGAAAAGATCTTCATAAGGGAAACTTTTTGGGGGATAGAGTTTTCATTAACTGTTTCTATTTCCTTGATTGTGACTAGTCTGTCAGATTATCTGTTTCTTTCCTACTCAGTCTCAGACCATTGAACAACAATTTACCACTTCTTTTAGGTACTGGAATTTATTAGCATATAAAATGTTCACAGTTGTCTCTTATCCTCTGAATTTCTGTATATGGTATAACTTTTCTTTCATTTCTGTTCCAATTTACTTGTAGTTTCTCCCTGATTTTCATAGTGAGCCTCACTATAGGTTTGTCTATTTTTTCAAAGAACCAGTTGTTGGTTTCATTAATCTAATCTTTTGGACATTCTTTTTTATTTATTTTTTAAATTTATTTACGCTTACAGAACTGGGGTATAGGCCAGAGGTATGGTGGGTGAGAGGATTCACCAGAGACAGAATGGGGAGCAGAACAGGCAGATGTACTAAAATACTGCTGAAGGTGGCAGTGGGCAGGCCAGGAGAGGTCTGCAGCGCCATGTGGGTCAGCTCCCTGACTGGGGATCAAACTTGTGCTACAGTGGCTTCAGAGAGCTTCATACTGTGGTGCTTTAACCCGTTGTACCAGCAGGGAGAGCTCCCCTGGACATTCTTTTTACTGTCTATTTTATTTATTCTATTAATTTTTATTATTTTCTTTCTTCTACTGGCTTTTAGTTTTGTTATTTTTCTAGTCCTTCATGGTGAGTGATAAGGTTTTGTATTTGTGCTCCCTCATGTTTCTTGAGTTGGACCTGTATTACTATATACTTTATTCTTAGTAATACTAAGTGCTGTGTTTCCTGTGCTGTATAGGTTCTGGACACAAAGAGGTTGTTTCCTCATTGTCATTCATCTCAAGGTATTTTTAATTTCTTTGACATCCTCATTAACTCAGAAATCTCTCAGTAGTATGTTCTTCATACTTTCAGAGAAGATGCTTGGAATAATTTTAGGCTTCACAAATTTGTTGATACTTGTCTTGCGACCCAGTATATGGTCTATCCTGGATAATGTTCCGTGTACACAAGAAAAATATGTCCTCAACTTTTTTGGGGTACAGTGCCCTATAAATGCCTATTAGGTTCATGTAGTTTAGTTATTTAAGACTACTGTGTCCCTTCATTTTTGGCTTGTTAATCTGTGATGGTGGGATGCTGAAATTCCCTAATGTTTCTTTTCGGAGTTGCTAGTTGCTGGTAGTTGCCTACTGTACTTTGTTTTCTCCTTCACTTGGTGAGTGTATATTGTTATATATTCCTGATGTATTGTTCCCTTAATCATAACATAGTGTCCATCATTGTCTTGTTCCCTTTTTTTATTAGAAATCTATTCTGTCTGATATAAATGGCTGACTCTGCCTTCTTTTGGGCCACATTCATTTGTAAGATTGTTTTTCAACCTTTTACTTTGAGTTTGTGTTTATTGAAGCTCAGGTGCTTTTGCTGGAGACAGCAGAAAGTTAAATTCTGTTGTCTAATCCAGTCAGATATTCTGTGTCTTTTAATTTGTAAGTTCAGTCCTTTTACCTTTAAGAGTGATTATTGGTATGTGCTGTTGCTGGCATTTTATACTTACTTATGTGATTCTGTTTTGCTCTTCAGTTCTTTGTGTATGTTTATTTCTTTGGTTTAGATAAGAGAGATCCTTTCCATATTTTTTGGAGGGGTAGTCTAGTGTTTGCAAGCTCCTTCAGCATCTGTTTTTCTGAGAAAGGTTTTTCTCTCATATTAAAAGGAAAGTCTTGCAATCTAGTTTCCTTGGCTGGCAGTTTTTAGGTATTGTAATCACATAATACCACTCTCTTCTTGCCCATAATATTCTTCAGGGAAGTCAGATGTTAGCCTGATTGATGAAACCTTTATAGATAGGTATCTGCTTCTCCCTCACTGGTATCAATGATCTTTCTTTGACTTTGATATTTTACTATCATATGTCTTGGTGTAGATATCATTTTGTTTTGTACTCTGGTGTGCTTTTAGCCTCCTGTATTTGTATATTTAATTCCTTCTCCAGGTTCAGGAAGTTTTCCGCTATTATGTCTTTAAGTACATTCTCAGTTCCTCT